TATCTAAATAAATATTAGAAGGAAAAAAAAATTGTTGAATAAAATGTCCTGCTGAATTGCTAAATTAATGACTAAAACAAGACAAAAACATGAGATAAAATAACCACAGTTTTCAATTTATTTTATTCAATTTTATCTGAATAATTTTGGAATTTATAAAAAAACACTTTTTATTCATATGAAAAATTGAATAAAACTTAGAAAAAATTCGTATTTTAAAGCATATTAGAATGACTAGAAATACTGATAAATTGATCTCCCGATCAAATGGCTCAATGGTCTGAACGATGGGTAAGTAATAGTTGGTATGTGTGTTCGAATCTAGTTGTAGTCATAAAATATTTCAGTTTACGCTAGTCAGGATCTCGTCATTATATAAGACCACAACTCGTCATGTAAAGCGTCATGGACGCTCTTACTTTTATTTATTAGGTTGGCAACAAAGTTTTTGAGGTTTTTTAAAAAAATTTATTTTTATTTTTTAACTTCAACACTACAACTAGCTTTCAGATATATATGCACCACTACTATCTATGACTTGTCGCCGTCGCTCTGGTAGAGATAGGATCCCACTTTCGTAGAAGTCCTGGGACTTTTGACCAAAGAAGTTGATGATATCCATTTTCACGTCGTTCTCGTCGTCGAAATTTTTCTCACGCAAATGATGATAAAGAGAACGAAACAAATGGTAGTCCGCTGGAGCCAAGTCAGGAGAATAAGGTGGATAAGGAATGGTAATCCATCCGAGCTTCAATAATTTTTCGTAGGCCGACTTTGCAACATGGGGTTTAGCGTTATCATGCAAATAGTAAATTCGATCCTGCTTTCCCTTGAGCTTTTCGGCAACCCGGTCCAATTGTTGACAGTAGAGTTCAGCAGTGATGGTACAGCCATTTGGAAGAAGTTCCCAGTGAATAATTCCATTGACTCCCGACCAAACGCTCAGCATCACCTTCTTGGGGTGTAGATCAGCTTTAGGCGTTGCTACGCCTGTTTGACCAGAGCTTAGCCACTAGCACCTGTGCCTGTAGTTAATATATAACACCCACTTCTCATCGCCGGTGATAAGATTGCGGAGCCATTGGTAGTTGCGGTGAGATGTCATTAAATTCATACAAGCATCAACCCTGTGTTGAAGCTGATGCGGTGATAACTCATGGGGTATCCAAACTCCATATCTCCATTTTTTGTCTAATTCGTTCAGATGTTTTTCCACCACAGTATGAGAGCACCCAAGCTGTTCTACTAAGCACCGTGAAGTCAATCGAGGATCTTGTTCGATAAGCTGCTTTAAGAGATCCACATCCACTTTCAGTGGCTTACCGGGTCGAGGTAAATCGTCGAGTTCTAAGTTACCGTTCTTAAAGCGATTGAACCAGTGTTGTGCCGTACGAATAGAGAGTATATCCTCGCCCCTCGAGCTGCATATGTTGTTGGCTGCTTCCGTTGCTTTGCGGCCCATACGGAATTCATGAAGTAAAAGCACTCGAATCTCTCTACGAGAAAGATCCATTTTCAGTTCATGATCAGCGTCCATATTGATGACTTTATTATCATTCACAAGATATTCACAGTCCCTTTATATACCCATAGTACGGAAACTTCTAGAACTTTCTGGAATGTTTTAGAACATTTTCAAAAAAACGCAAGAACTTTGTTGCCAACCTGATAGAATCACATTTTTGACGGGTGTCAGGATGATACCGCATGTCTAGCCTTTTTTTCGAAAAAGACTACGCATGACAAATAGAATGACTCCAGTCACTTTCATCGTGACACGACATTACCGCGCGCGACACTTCCGTGCAACAGTGATCATGGGAGCAAAAGTTGAGAATGAGCTCGAAAATAAGGGGGAAAACGAAAACAAAAGTGAGGGGACGAGTGAGGGTGAGGGTGAGGGTGAGAGTTAGAATGAGGACTTTGCGAGCAAATATTATGCATGAATCTGTATTGCGTCGTAGTGTTGCGCGCGGAAATGTCGTGGAACCCACTTTCATAGTCCGGACGGGCACTATGGGCTATACGAGATTTCAGACTAGTCATGTACTAGGACATTTTGAGAAAAAGACTAGATTGGGCGGCCGACTTGTCTAGAAAAAAGACAAGTCTTTTTACTAGTCTTTTGGTCACCTGGGGTAGGCTAAATTATAATATATCTTTGGGGAAAATATATCTGCCGTCAGGTAATGAGAGTTCACTTTGAAACGGCTTATCCATACTTGCTGGGCATAATCAGGATGAACTAAGAATTGGGGACGACAACAGATTAAGTGTATATTAATGTTATTATAAATAACATTAATAATAAGGATAATGGTGTTTTATTAATAAAGATGACCGCTATCGATGAAGATAATAAATAACAACTGAACTGGTTAGAGAGAGAGAGAGAGAGAGAGAGAGAGACAAAGGAAAACAAGGCGGCCAATGACCGACAGATCAAAGAGAAAACATCAAAGAGAATTAATATGATTGATATATCATAGTGACAAGTTTAATGTCAATGAGCACCATCTATTGATGCTAACACTACCTCGATTTCCACAACCTATAATTAAGTCATTGCTTATTTCCTTACGTCTATAATGGAGTATTAATTGTTAGCTCGTATATTTAACAATGACAGAGACTCGTTTCTATGATCTGTAATGATACCCTAAACTAGTTGGTATGGTCTGTAATGGGTAAGCATTGCCTTTTTCGTGTAGTTTGTAATTGAAAAAGGAAGAAATAGCAGTGAAACTAGTCAAGGTCCTAATTAGCACAATTTTAAACTCATTAATGTCTGTAATGAGGAGGGGGATGGGAGCCGCGAAAAATCTCGCTTTAAAAATTGTACTCACCATTTTCTTTGAAAATATATGTGTTCCACAAAAATAAGTTCAGTAATTATATTTATTTGCGTAACTATTTTTTTTCTTGATTTTGAACAATAAATATTAGATTTCTATGTAAGAATTCTATATTGCAACGATAAATCAAAAATTAAGCATAGTTTTGTATCAAAAACATACTTCCTGCTCTTTTTCTGCTTTCTTATGATAAAACTTCTGTCAATTTCTGGTTTTTCAAAAATGATTTTCTGGTTTTTAGAGTTGAAAAAGTGGCAGGTCTGTTTCTGTAGCAGCGATCGATAAAAACATCCAATATCAAAACCAGTGTTAAACATTTTTAACAAAATCTCAGACTAAAATCGGCTATTTGATTCGAAATCGGTTTTTAATAGATTAGCTAAGTTTAATCGATTAAAATTGATTTTTAAAGGTGATTAAAAATGGATTTTGAACTTAACGAATCAGGCTAAAAGAATGGCGCCATAAAGGATTTTTAATCGCTACGACTGTCACACATTTACCTTGCTACAGATTTGATCCAAGAAGAATATGTCTTTGTGAAGCCACACGGCGAATTTATTTTGTCGTTCGTTCACTACCATTCTTTTTTATTTACAAAGTAATTCGTCGTACCGTAAACACTCATCCCAAGGATAGGAAAAAGTGCATTTTCTAACGTGCGACTCTTAAAAAAGTACATTCAACTATATCATGAAACAAAGAACGGCAAAGTCGAACTTGCTTTACATTCTTATTGGTTTGAATCTGCACTCAATCACCATTCTACGACTGATGTAATATTAAAAATATCTTCAGGGGTGTGCAAGTGTGGATGTGTTTTGCACTATATGGTCGTACCATGACAACGGTTGTTTCTATCACGGCCGGACTTCATCAGATGATATTCTTAATATTATATTTACTTAGATACTAATTCTTAAATTTATTCTGATAGAAAACATTTGAATTATTTTTCAATATAATAATTAGGTCTTTCAAGACATTTGCACATTTTTTATTTTTCAAATAGAATTAACTTTAAACAATAATCTAAGACGATTAAAGAAGTCTTGAAAACGGAAAATGTTGAAGAAAAAAAATCAAAGCGGATGTGGGTGTGGGTGACCATTATAAGAGAACACTCTCACAGACTCACACCCGCTCCCAAATTAAAATAGACCAACTGTCGGAAGTGATGGGTTTAGTTTTTATCACAAATGAAAACGCAGAACATTTTCACTGACACAAAACTTTTACTGTGTATTTCTTCGACAACTACTTCCAATGGTAGTATTGCATTCAAATGTTCTGAATTTTATTTCAAGCATATAATTATCGGAAAACAAATCATTGTATTGATTTTTGACAAAGCGATGGATTGTTGTTCAAGATGTAAGCATTCAGACTTCTGAGACTTAAGTTGGATGCATACAATAACAGTTATTTTGGTGAACACAAAAGGGTTTCATGGATTATCATGAAAGTTCGTAAGCTTTCTACAACAATTTTGCATTCATTCGATAATATTTGTAATAAATCGGTACACTTTTCAGATGAAAAACATCGAAATCGACTATAATGGGTTAGCAAACATTTCATGGATAAAAAAAACAAATTGTTTGATTTCACTATATGATTACTTCTTTTATGTGATTGTGGCGATAAAATATTTTTTGCAAGAGCATCGCAGGCGGCCAGTGTCTACATCGCCATAAAAATAAAAATGATGATGAAATCTGTATGCAAACACTTACTATTTTTGTTGTAAAATACTATTTTTTGTATTACATAGGTACCCACTGCTATCCATTTCAAAGACATAAATTGTGTGTCTTTGATAGCTCTTCCTCAACAGATCAGTGAGAATCTCATTTCTTTGCAGAATTTTAAAAAGATGAGAATGAGCGACTCAATTTTCATACGTTCTTCAGAGCTGAATATTGCCAACCTGAATAAGATAAATGAAAGCAATTATGATTTTGATGAAAATGATTAGAACAAATGAAACATAAATTTATGCAAAGTATTTGATTTCAGCTTATACGAAATCACCACACAGATACTAGAGCTGATTTTATTACTTCGATATTGCACACTGAAAAAAAAGGTGTCACACGCATCCTTTGAGGTTTCGTCGAACGTCACTGTATACTATTAGATATCGCACCAGTCCACGAAACCATTTTAAGGTTTAGTAATCAAAGGGGTTCCGTAACAAACTCTTTTTATTTTTGGTAGGCGAAAGGGTTTCATATTCGTAGAAGAATGACTAGCTTTAACTTTAGAAAACATGAAAAATACTCAAATTAGACTTTAAATAGTAGCAATCAAGTCAAAAACTATGATTATCAACTAGTTTTCGAAATTTAATTAATTTGAATTTCAAACAATTCAATTAAAGTTTAGTTACTAATTTAAATGATACAAAATTTAAAATTAAATTAAATTAAAATTTCTTGAATTATAATTTCTTTTCAATTTAACTTTTCATTTAAAAAAAAATTCTTTATTTTAAATAAAATGTGACACCCCTAAGTTCTTTTCCTAGCCCAGAAAATGCTTCAACCAACTGATTCTTCATTTCATTACTGCACTTGAACTCCTTCGGCTTGCCACTGCCATAAACCCATATACTGTTATTCCAAACCACAATGGCATTTCTCTGATAAAGCGCAGCTCGTATTACTATGGGCATCCATGAGACGTCAACCGTTTTCAGTAATGCATTAACAAATTTGTGTGTAGGCATAGCTAAAAATTCC